TTTCCCTATACGCTATTGCAATATGTCCATTTTATATATGCTCGCATCTCTAATTTTGTCACGTTGTCGACTGGGTTTTTCATTTTTTTGTGAAACATTTGCGTCACGTATTTACATTTATTTTGAAATATATTATGAGTAAAACGAAATACTTCCAGGTTAATCAATTTATCTGTCGGCGAGTAAAAACTTTTTTATTCGCACCGTTCAAACAATCTCGATGTAATGAACTGTATCGAGGCGATAATAGTGTCGAGAAGGGAGCTTATCGCAAATGTGCAAACAATAGCGCACATGTTGCCCGGATTTAGGGACGTTGTCCGCATTTAAAGGCGATCAAACCGCAATGGGTGGGTGAGTCTGCGAAGTTGATTAAATCCTCAATCTTGTGAAAGACGAAACTCCATATAACTCCATATAAACACAGATAAATTGATTAAAGTTATCTTGAGACAATAACTCGCAATTATCCCTAATTATGAAAAGTCTTGTTAATTCCTCGAATCATTATTGCAGAAATAAATTTAATAAAGTAAGATTAAAAATTTTCTACATTAAATTGAATTAATTATACACAATGAATAAGATGGGCCAATGCAACGGTTATATCAGGATGTTGGTACTACAATTTTATTATGTGATTTTACATACGTATCCTAGCTTCGACTAAACTGCGTGCCGTTACTTTCCGGATTCAACGCAACCTCCCATGATTGTAACAGACCGATCACGTATTAAGAACTTGATGCTAACTTGCATCTAATAAATCCTCCCTCCCCCGCGACGTCAAATAAATGCTAGTCTGCATCTATACGAACCAATTTCGACGAATCTGTGAAGAAATTTATTGCGAAAAAATATCACCTCATGTTCCTGGCTGAGAACATGAGGTGATATTTTTTCGCAATAAATTTCTTTACAGATTCGTCGAAATTGGTTCGTGTAGATGCACACTAGCATTTATTTAACGTCGCGGGGGAGGGGGGATTTATTAGATGCAAGTTAGCATTAAGTTCTTAATACGGTCCTGTTTCAATCATGGGGAGTTGCGTTGAATCCGGAAAGTAACGGCACGCAGTTTAGTTGAAGCTAAGATACGTATGTAAAATCACATAATAAAATTGTAGCAATATCCTGATATAACCGTTGCATTGGCCCATCTTATGCATTGTGTTTAATACATACGGTTGCTAGATATATATATATATATATATATATATATATATATGTAAATTTATATAGTTATTTGATCCAATAGTTAATTCAACAATTCTTTAGTTGCACA